CCATGACCATGCCAATGCGGCGCTCAGCAATCCCATTTTGCTGTGGAGAGTCCGGAAGCGTAAAGGTCTGGCGAATGCCCTGTGCACGACAGTAGGCTCGCAGAAGGCCAGAGGAAAACTCTCCGCCTCGGTCAGAGTGCAGACGCAGAACAGGAAAGTCCGAGCCGAAGCTCCTCCTGAGCTGGAGACGAGCTGCGCGGATCCAGTCGATCAACACCTCAGTGACATCACCCTTGCTGCGCAAGGGGAAGACTGCGGTGAAACGCGAGTAGTCGTCAACCACCAGCAGAAAGTAGCGCTCGTGACCCTGTCCACGGACGCGGGCCGGGCCCCACACGTCCATGTGAAGCGTCTGCAGAGGAGCCTCTGTCGGAGGAAACTGTGAGGAGTGGGGGGCAGCCCGGAGGCGCCCCTCGACACAAGGGACACAGGAAGGTCCTGGCCCCGAAGGAAGGGGAGGGAGAGACCGGGGAAGACCAGAGACAAGAACACGGGAAGCCATGTCCCTGAGACGTGGCAAGGAGGGGTGGCCAAGACGGTGGTGCCACAGGAGAGTCTCGTGAGACAGGAGGCGACACGAGCAGGGGGCAGACTCAGGACCAGACCTGGACGCAGCAGCAAACACCTGACCCGACGCAGCTACCTGGCCAGACACAGGGACAGGAGGAGACTCAATGGTCAGGGTGTAGAGGCTCGACCCCGGCCGATGGGAGAACGTGGCCAGGTGCCGACCTGTGGAGTGGGTCACCCGCTGACTCGCAGGAGTAAACTGGTGAGCCCCCGCATCCTGTAGGGCAGCACCACTCACCAAGTTCGTCGAGAACGAGGGGAGGTACAGGCCTGACAGGGCGCCCGAGGGGGCAGCTGGACACGGCAGAACAGTGGAGAAGTGAGAGAGGACAGGACCCCCAGAGGGGTCAGCCAGGGAGACCGCAACCGTCCGGCCAAGCGGCGTGAGTGTGGTGCGGTCCCGAAAGAAGGAGCGAGAAGCCCCAGAGTCAAGTGTAAAGGTGAGGGAGGCCGAAGCCGACTCGGTACCTGAGAGCGCAGCCTCACCAGTACCTGAGAGCGCAGCCTCACCAGCACCTAGCGCAGTCGTACCAATGCCCGGGTCGGGCGGGAAACACCGGTAACAGTCACCCTCATCACTAATAGACACAGAATACATGGCAGCAAGGATAGCATCAAAGTCTAGCTCAAAGATCGCTACACCGGCTCTAGAAAGGTCTCCCCAGCGGGGGATCTCAGAGGCGTCAGGGAACTGCTGACGCCAAGCGTCTGTCAGGCGGCCAAAGCAGCGCTGGGTGGCGTGGGCACCCCCACACTGCTCACCCGCGCGGTCGCTACTGCGAAGAACGTAGGTGCACGGACCAAAACCTCCACCAGGCTGACTCTGCTCGTACCACTCACGGAGCTGCTGAGGCGGGGGGATGTCCCGAGAACGCTGCTGCTGCTGCTGCCGCGGACCACCACCAGAGCCGCTCCGCTGCGGGGCACTACCCCGACCAGCTCCACCTCCTCCGCCACCACCTCCTCCACCGCCACCACCTCCTCCACCGCCGCCACCACCACCTCCTCCGCTCCCACCGCCTCCGCCGCCACCGCCTCCGCCGCCGCTGCCGCCGCCACCGCCACCACTCCCGCCACCACTCCCACCGCCACCCCTCCTCCCTCCGCCGCCTCCACCGCCACCTCCACCGCCCCCGCCAGCTCCACCCGCGCCCTTGCCCCCCTTGCCCTTGCCAGTGCGGCGTCTCCCGCTAGGGGCAGACGCCGCGCCGACCGACTCAAGACCAAGCAGGTCGGCAGTAGCAGCAGAGGCAACAGAGGGCAGCAGGGGGGAAGGAGAACACCCCTCAAAGATGGGGGTGCGCGGGTCTCCACGAGAGGCTCCTACAGCGACTATACTCTTCTCCGCTGCTAGGAGGGCCTTCTCGAGGAGGTCGACAGTGAGGGTGGTGGGACAGTGAGGGTGGTGGTGAGGGCAGTGAGATTAGGAAAGAGGTACGGTAGCATGAGACGGCTCAGTGCAGCAGTGGCAGGGGAAGAGTAGCGCGCAACGACAGCGTCGTACAAGGTCTGAGCACTCTTGTACTGACTAAAGTGCGCGCGCTCAGTGGTGGGCAAGTGGCGACGCACAGCAAGACGTGCAGCAGCATCGCGGGTGGCCCACTGAGAGCGAACAGTGGGGTCAGCATCAGCAGCAGGGGCAGGAGAGGCGCCAGAGGTGAGGTCAAAGAGAGAATGGCCGTCAGCTCTGTCGCACTGTAAGAACAGCTGCAGGTCGTCGACCCAGACCTCAAAGTCAATGGCTCGACCCTCAACGTCAAAAGCGAGGACACTGGGGGTAGCCATGACGACGACAGTGGAGCAGTGCAAGCAGTAGGGGAAGGGCACGCAGTGACAGCGGTATGGTGCTCACTGTGCAGGGCAGGTCGGGCGGCTCGGCAGGAAGGTTGCCCGGCGATGCGGCTGCGAGGCTGCTGGGCGGCTCGGCTCCCGGGCGGCTCGACTGCGGCTGGGCGGCTCGGCTGCTGCTGGGCGGCTCGGCGGCTCCTGGGCGGCTCGGCTCCCGGGCAGCTCGGCTGCGGCTGGGCGGCTCGGCTGCTGCTGGGCGGCTCGGCGGCTGCTGGGCGGCTCGGGTGCTGCTGGGCGGCTCGGTTGCTGCTGGGCCGCGTAGGTAGGGCGGCCGGGCCGCGAAGGTAGGGCAGCGGGCGGGTCGCAGGTAGGGCGGCGACTGGGCCGCGAAGGAAAGGGCGGCGGGTGGGCCGCAGGTAGGGCGGCGGGTGGCCGCGAAGGTAGGGCGGCGGGTTGGGCCGCGAAGGTAGGGCGGCGGGTGGCCGTGAAGGTAGGGCGGCGGGTGGGCCGCCAAGGTAGGGCGGCGGGTTGGGCCGCGAAGGTAGGGCGGCGGGTGGCCGCGAAGGTAGGGCGGCGGGTGGGCCGCAGGTAGGGCGGCGGGTGGCCGCGAAGGTAGGGCGGCAGGTGGGCCGCGAAGGTAGGGCGGCGGGTGGCCGCGAAGGTAGGGCGGCGGGCGGGCCGCGAAGGTAGGGCGGCGGGTGGCCGCAAAGGTGGGGCGGCGGGTGGCCGCGAAGGTAGGGCGGCGGGTGGCCGCGACGGTAGGGCGGCGGGTGGCCGCGAAGGTAGGGCGGCGGGTGGCCGCGAAGGTAGGGCGGAGGGTGGCCGCGAAGGTAGGGCGGCGGACGGCCGCAGGTGGGGCGGCGGGTGGGCCGCAGGTAGGGCGGCGGGACGGCCGCAGGTAGGGCGGCGGGACGGCCGCAGGTTCGGGGGCGGCGGGGCCGCAACTGAAGGGCGGCGGGGCCGAGAGAGGGCGGCGGGGCCGCAAGGGGAAGGGCAACACGGAGGGTCGCTAAAAAAATGCGCGCCTCGGGGCGCGCTTCAGTGGGCCCTAGAGAATAGTCCCTAGGATGGGACCTGCTCTGATTCCATGTGAAAGTAGGAACGTGAATGAATGAACTATGAAATGTGTGAGTACAAGTACCAACCCCAATTGGGTTGTACCCCCTATGAGATACCCCACTATAGCCTACACAAAAGCATAAGCTATAAGTTCTGACATTTAGAACTGCATAGCATCTGTAACTGACAAACCAACTACCCAGTCACTATTCCGCTGCATTCTGTACACATGCGTGTATCAAATCGGATACTACACCTGCTACGTTGTCGTTGCAAACCCGTTACAATGAACACCATATGAAAGCTCACCAAACCTAACCTTTCCAACCGACTAGAAAGTTGCAACTACGCAACCCCAACTGCCATCCGTACTCGACAACACACGTGGCATCCAGTATCAACCCGATGGTCCACGTAAGCGTTCACCCATCAAAACGTACCATCACCCCATCCGTTAGATTTACTGTTTGTTTACTCAATCTACACGTTTCACGTGTCGCCCTGTCAGCTACTCGCACATCATGTTACTCTTCAGGAGCACCACCTCGCGACTACTCGCTGACACATCGCACTGGCATCTTCTCCGTCCATCTCCTCATCAATCAGCCTGTAAATACGTGACGCTTGGAACCAGCCCACCGGTGCTCACGTCGCAACTCTCGTGTACGAGACCCACTAGCTTTTTAACACTTGGCATCCATCGGAGGGCGCATCATGCCTTTTCTCCCTATCCAACATTGCACCCTCGCCGTACAAATGTCGCACCGCCACATTCTCGTTTACTTCGCCATATTTCTCGGCACCCAATCGTTTTGCTCACGATACACGTTTGCGACTCCATTCTCACCGTCCATCTGCACACATAGTCTGCAAATCCCCACTGCCACGTTGTTCTCACAGCCGCGATCTACTCCGTTCACTTGCCTTCGAATCGTCCACTCGCGCATCTAGTAACCATCCATCCATCTCCTCGCCATAAGCCTTCGCTCCATGTGCGCGAAATAATATTAACCTTACACCTGTCGCGTCCTCGCCGAATATCAACACGATCTCCCAACCAGTACGCCATCACTCCTACACATAATTTTGATAGTTCTAACGTACACCAGAGTGACACGCGTAGTTTTGTCCGTGCGTGTCAAATTGGGCATAGGTTCCACAATAATGCTTATCCATGATGATATCCAATCGGAACGCCTCACGCCCGCATTGTTGTCACGGGCACGTCCTACCCAGTTGCGACATATGGAACCCTCCGCGACTCGCGCAGCCAAATGCGGCGCACTATTAGTCTGCCCGCACACCTGGTTCCGTCCTGCATTTTTCATTGTACATCATCCTCTACTTGCCTGTGTTAACTTGAACATCAATTACCCCAAACGACTTCTCCCATTCATAACACGGTCGCACATAATGAGTACCACAACTCCTAACTACACCCGTCCTCTTCAACGCTCAGTCACATACATGCAACCCCCTTACCCCACATATCCAAACTTCCAACACCGCACAAATACCCCTCTTCTACGCATCTATTCAGCTGTCCCTTCAACCGTTCACCACCAACATCCTCTATTGACAGTCTACTCATCACCAAGTGACGCCGAAAGGTCGTCATCCCCTACGATGCCTTGCAACTCGGTGGCGGCCGCGGGCTTCATGTGCTCCAGGCCGCACGCAGAGATGCGCAGGCCATGGCGCCCCCAAATCCACGCTTCGCGCTCCGCTTCATACTCGGGGTTGCGGATACGGATCGCCCTCTCCACGGCCTCCTTGACCAGGACCTTGAGCCCATCCACCACGTGGGCGTTCCCGCCCGCCGAGTTGGAGAGCCGGCCTTTCCGCGCCTCCTAGTAGAGGACGCAGTCGGAGACCTGCCCCCAACACAAAAAGCGTCAGTCCATGCATTTTCAGTAGGATGCATACCCCTTCAACCCTCGCGCGCACACACTCACCACATGCTCCAACCAGGCTAGGTGGTACACCTTAAGGGTCATCACCAGCCCTGCCTTCTTCGGCTTGAAGGCAGCCTTCGCACATGTCGCAAACGCCCGGGAGGCAAACGGCATGCCATCCCTGTCGTGCACCCAGCTGGTCAGCACTAGAGTTTCTGCACACCACATCCGAAGCGTGGGTATCAATGTCCACAATTCTCGCATTGGTGCATGTCTACTAACGGTCGACGACTCCAACGGTCGTCTCATGCACTCACCAGGGGGGTCAGCGCCAAGCCCAATGCGCTCCCTTATCTTGTCGATACTACGCTCCTTTTCAGGTGCCCACGGGCTGGATGCGTCCCTGTCGTCCCGGAACAGGCCGAGCTTCGGAAGTGCAATGTCTCGCACGCGAGCGGCAGCCCTTGTCTTCCACTCCGACAGCGTCTTGTTGAGATCCGCCCGTCGCGACTTGTCAGCCGCCAACGCCAAACAGGCGAAGCTGTGAGGCAGGCGGTCCAGTACCGCGCACACTCCGTGCGTCTTATCGTCGCTGCTCGGGTAGAAGGTCATCGACGACGTGGGCCTGTTGAGAAACAAGTGAACTCTGGCTAGTTCGCACACCCGCTGCGCATCCATAGTATACACCATCACCAACATCAGCATTCACCATGTACCATCAACGTGTACAGAATGCAACCCATTCCGGACGGGAAGTTACTCGACCAATATGGAAACATGCCCGCTCACCTTCCACGCCTTGTCTGTCGGCAGATGCGCCAACGCGCGTTGCAGAATAGGAGACTTTGCAGTACGCATATGACGACCACCAGAACCATGTGTATCTTCCTCGTCGTCCTCTCCGTCATCGTCCGACCCGCCGCTCCATGTCTCGCCACGCTTACGCTTCGGGTTCATGCACCCCTGCTCCGGGTCTCTCTGCTTCCGAGCCTTACGCTTACGAGATCCACCAGAACGCTCCGCCATTGCATTCAAAAACATCGCCTCCAACCGCGCGTTCTCCTTGGCGCTCCTGTCCTGAGCCCGGATGAGTTGCTCTAGAACCCAGCTCGAGATGCGCACGTCATGGCCGTCGGTGTCCACTGGGGTCCCGCATGCGCGGTGCACATGCCCGTCCACATGTCCTCGGCCTTCGCCCCGATACACATCCGTCTCCCCCGCGCCCCGACTTTCGCGCCCGTCTGCTTTGGGTGAAGCGGTTCCCGCACACCCATCGTTGGCCGTCTTCCCTCCAGTGGCAGGTTCGCCGGATTCTTCGGGTGAGGCTGAGGCCGATGTGTCTTAGTCTGCCTCGCCATCCTCTTCATTGCGCTCGGACGATGAAGCACTCTCTGCACCAGTGCCGTCATCTGCGATGACACAGAGGCTCCAGACAAGCACGGTACCACATGTCAGCTATACTTGTTGGGCACTGGGATTCATACGTATATACAATGCGAACAGCCACATGAGTACAACGAGTCTCTCATCCACGCTCTTTCTGCATACCTTGCTCATGCTGTACCACCTCGTCTCCCTTCTTGGTCACGCTCAGACGCTTAGGCAGTGTCGGCCCGCATTTCCCGTTAGACAGCCGACCGCGCGGCAATGTCAGCTGATACGATGCTCGCAGGTACGCCGGCGGGTGAGATACACGACGGGCGCGCCCTACCGTCAGAGTATCATCTGAAGCAAGCGAAGTATCCATTGTAGCAACAATAGTATCCAGTGATGTAGACACAGAATGACGGGCGGGTCTATACTTATACATATACCCCAACTTCTTACCACACCTGATGCCCATCATGGGCAGTGAGTTAGGTGGGCAATACGACTTCGTGTCTATTTGGATGACCGCAATCCGAAACGGCTAATACATGCACACCACGTCATCCGCCGCCATGTACATGTGTGCACACATAAACCACACACCGCGCACATCATGACGACACAACCGTATCGGTGGAACTCGTTTGTGCGTACATCTTGTCTCACGAAAGTGTTAACTCCTTGGCGCGTTCTCCTTGGCGCTCCTGTCCTGAGCCCGGATGAGTTGCTCTAGAACCCAGCTCGAGATGCGCACGTCATGGCCGTCGGTGTCCACTGGGGTCCCGCATGCGCGGTGCACATGCCCGTCCACATGTCCTCGGCCTTCGCCCCGATACACATCCGTCTCCCCCGCGCCCCGACTTTCGCGCCCGTCTGCTTTGGGTGAAGCGGTTCCCGCACACCCATCGTTGGCCGTCTTCCCTCCAGTGGCAGGTTCGCCGGATTCTTCGGGTGAGGCTGAGGCCGATGTGTCTTAGTCTGCCTCGCCATCCTCTTCATTGCGCTCGGACGATGAAGCACTCTCTGCACCAGTGCCGTCATCTGCGATGACACAGAGGCTCCAGACAAGCACGGTACCACATGTCAGCTATACTTGTTGTTCACTGGGATTCATACGTTTATACAATGCGATCAGCCGCATGAGTACAACGAGTCTCTCATCCACGCTCTTTCTGCATACCTTGCTCATGCTGTACCACCTCGTCTCCCTTCTTGGTCACGCTCAGACGCTTAGGCAGTGTCGGCCCGCATTTCCTGTTAGACAGTCGACCGCGCGGCAATGTCAGCTGATACGATGCTCGCAGGTACGCCGGCGGGTGAGATACACGACGGGCGCGCCCTACCGTCAGAGTATCATCTGAAGCAAGCGAAGTATCCATTGTAGCAACAATAGTATCCAGTGATGTAGACACAGAATGACGGGCGGGTCTATACTTATACATATACCCCAACTTCTTACCACACCTGATGCCCATCATGGGCAGTGAGTTAGGTGGGCAATACGACTTCGTGTCTATTTGGATGACCGCAATCCGAAACGGCTAATACATGCACACCACGTCATCCGCCGCCATGTACATGTGTGCACACATAAACCACACACCGCGCACATCATGACGACACAACCGTATCGGTGGAACTCGTTTGTGCGTACATCTTGTCTCACGAAAGTGTTAACTCTGCACGTTGTTGACGTACATCCATTCATTATACATGTCACCAATTGCTCGTTACACTACCACACAATGTACCGAACCTTTGAGCACCATAGTGTAAGCAATAGCCTTCGCACCCATCAATTACGAATACCAGCAGAAAATCTAACGCCCTGCACATCTCCCACAGAATTACTCGAAAACGATACCTCACAATTGCATTCATGTGTACGTCTATGCATCTACACCAACTACGCAGGATGTTCTGCCAACATCTCATGTGCAGCAGACTCTTCGACACCCTCCTCGGCTTCCTTGTGCCGAGCACACCCGCTGCTACCGTTGTGCACAGGGGTCGTTCCCCCACTCTCAGCATTGTCAGGGTCAGTCTGGTTCGTTGGCCGCCTTGTTTCTGTCCACCACCCTCTGCCTCTTTGATGTGCGCGTGGCAACCACTCGCTTCCTCCCTCGTTTCATCTTCCAGTTCACGCCCTCCCTCGCCTCCCGCCAGCTCCGCCACCTCCACCACTTCCGCGCTTCCACCAGGAGCTGCAGATCTTCCTTGGTGCATCCACGCAGCATCGCCTTCTCTACGGCTGACAGACTGACAGTGTTGGGTATCTTGTCTCGTGGCCTCAGGACGAACGCACCTGCGGCGTACGCATACGCCGTCTCCTCCTCCAATGTGTATGCACCCAGCCGCTGTTGCCTACGCTTTCCTCCTTCTTTGATCAGGATCTTCACGCCGAACTTGCCTGATGTTTTCTCCAACTTCACTCCTGTGTACTTCGTTGCACACGTGTCGTCACCATCCTCTTCGTCCTCCGTGTCTGACACGAGATCCTCCTCTTCTTCAGCCTTCACCGTCTCGTGGCCGCTCGTATCTCCCCACGCATCAGCTCCAGACGACACCGTCAACCCGAGCAGTGGTCTCCCGCGGGTGAACATCCAGTAAGGTATGGTCCCTCCCGACAGCAGCGGGTTTTGCAGCAAGCGCGCTGTCGGATCACATGCAGCGAACGAGGAGGCCAGCGCAACACGGGTGGCATTGCGTACGACATCCTCCTCTGGACTGCTGTCAACAAACCTTTTGCGCCCGGATGGACGTTGTGGAGTGTGTGCGGCATTCTTGGTGCCACCTGCCTCTGCTTTCGCGCCGGATCTCACGGGGTTGCCTTGCATCAGTAGTTCGGTTGCAGCGGACACCACCTCCTCGCACCTTAATCCAACAAAATTGGATATGACGTTGAAGCTCGCGTCAGAGGAACATCACATCGTTCTTCATAGTCGCAATTTCCCTCATCATCGCCGTAACCCGTGCGTCATCCCCGGTTTGACTGACCGGTGCTTCCCTCACATCTTCGATACCACCATTCCTCTCCCGCACTACTGCCCCCCCCTCTGTTACCCGGCCTGCGTCCTGCGGGGGAATTTCGATCCCCAGCGCTTCCAACTGCTGAATGAGATCTCCGGTCGCGTGTGCGCACAAGTCGCGCCGCATCTTCCGCCGGTATTGGTGCGGCGTCACTCCCTGAAACCAGAGCCCGCTCAATAACGTGGTGAAGTCGGACATCACCAGGGTCTTCAGGTACTGGCAATCAAAAATCCCACAACCCTGCTTGTTCGGCTGCTGTGGCAGCTTATCCTCCTGCACTTCGACAAACGCACACTACAGTTAGCAATCCGTCTACCCTCGTAAACATTGTGCACACAGGTATGCGCATTCACTGGTACCCTCACCCGTAATAGGAGCTTGTCAACAAGCTCCATGTTCGCGTCGGGGTTGCTCGCCTTCGCGAGTTCGGACAGCACTCTGCACGTTACAGGCCGACATCGTTAAAACAAGTTATGCATCAGCTGCCAGCGACATGCAACATCGACAGTGAACCCCGTACTCACAGCTTGGTGCCTGCAAAAATCATGCGGGTGTTCCTTGTCTTTATGCTACTGTCCAGCAAGACCAACTTCATTCGCTCTTTGCATTCGGATTTCGCGGACTTGGTAAGCACCGATGGAGATACAGCGATGACGAGCGAGTAGTGCTCCCTACACTCAACATGAGAGGGTATGTTGGGATTAGGGTTAGTCAACCATCGGTGTCAAGCTAAAGAATCCACTCACAAACCGAATACTTGTGATACGTACCCCTCTAGCACAGGGATCGCGAGATAGTCGTGCTGCAGTAGAGGAAGCCCGTTCCCCAGCGTCAAAAGCACACCACACGAGTTTGTTTGGAAGTACGCCTTGCAGTCCAATGCAGCCCATGTTTTCCCATCACGGAGAGTCGGCTTCCGGATGCTAAGCAGCCTGCACAGGTAATGAACAAGAAATAACAAAGCGTATTAGATGTTGCCCGTACATCAGATACTACGCAACAAAGCGTGAACCAGGTGACCTCAGTGAAGATACTTACACGTTGTGAAAGTCTAGCACACCATCAGTGATCCACTGATCATCCTTGATCGACATGAGGTCGTCCTTATCCACCTCGCACCCGACGCCGCGGTGATTTATAAGCGTCATGTTTGTGTACGAAGACTTCATGTAATTCCGTGCGACGAGGGACACCAAATCTTCCTGCACCTGCTCCCGCGCCGTATCCTCCTTAGTCGTAGCAAACTTCATGGCCCTTCCGGAGGCCTTAGTTGGCGGGATCGGCCCTGGATTCTTCATGTTAGACTCTGCATTTTTCGACGACCTGGTTCTGCACGTCAGCGGGGCAGGATCTTGGTCGTCGGAGCCGCTGCTAGTTTTGGGTTCATAGAACCTGTTGCGCTTAGATGTCAACTGCTTAGGTTTCGCCATCTCTATCTATCAACGACTCGAATACAAACTACCCTGGCTTATGTAGACGCGAGCAGGTAGGGTTTGCAGGAGGAACACATTTACGGGGAGCGCAAGCGTTGAGGATACTAAGGAAAATGAAGGAGATAGAAAGGCGTAACCCTTCTGGGATCATGCACATCTGGTGTGACCGTCGTGTAGAGCTACATAGATGTACACCGTTGGCGCAAGCGTGCATGCGATGGCCAGGTGTGATGCGACCACTCGAGAGGATGTGATGGTTCAGCACCATGCATATCCACGTGTGCTAATCCTAGGGTTTGGGATGCTGTGGTCGGAGGTTGAAGCCGGGTTACCAAAGCAGATGCATGCAAGCGAATGCACGGTAGTTTGAATTTTTTGATGAGAAGGCCGTATGACGCGAAGTATTGTAACGATGTACGCCGTATGGTGAACATACGTATAAGTGTCTCTTCGCGCGCCGAGTCCTCGTTTTATGCAATCGATGCGTACATGGTTATTAAACTTGTATAACAATAACACGCGAATGCAATGTGTTATGTTACGTCAGTTCAAGGTGGTCAGAGTTTGGAAAAAATGTTGTTACCCTACATGACAAATAATCAAATATATGCAATGGTTGTTGGTGGTTACGGAACCAATTTATGATATTTTTTTCATCTCGATCAACAAGTTACAATCACTCGCTTGGGGCAGTTTGACAAATGTACATCCCGATTCACATACAACACATCCACACATAACATAATTGTACCTTTCACTGCAACGAGTACGATTATGTTCCGTGCGCACACCACAAAGGTTCCCGCACATGCGTGTGCTCGAACCAGACCACCTCTGTTCTACAAGAGTGCACCAGATGGGCTGGGCAGGGTTTTCACAGCAGCAATTCCTAGGGTTTCACGGCTGTAGGATGGCGGGGAACAGTTGCCTGGTGTGCAAGACGGTGTTTAAGGACGACAGCAGGTTACAGTCCAATGTAGTGAATGGGGCTGTTTGTCGCGAGGAGTTGAAGAGG